GAATCTTTAAACTGTCCAAGACTGGAACAGTCTTTTTACAGAATTCTTTTTCGGTATGTCTTTACTAATACAAAATAAGTAGTACTAAATCAAAACTCAAGCCATTAGAACATATATCATCCATGAGTATTTCCGAAGAGAGGAAACACGCTAAATTTTGTATTTCGGCTAAATGTGTTTACTTTCAATAATGCTTTTGAAATTTATCTTTAGAAATAAAAACTCTGTGCGTTTATCTATTATCCAAAAAAAAATTAGTCAACGAAGTCCGGTCAATAGTGAAATGGAAGGAAAAAACTTTTAGGGAGGAACTTTTAGGACACACTGTATGATTAGCCTAGTCGAAAATCTTGTAAAAAACATCTTGGGTGCACGTATTTAATATCTTTAGTTTGATATCTGGTCTTTCATGATCTCTTTTATTTATCTTTACCTCAACCACTTACATCTGTCATACTAATAATCGGGGCTTTCTAGATCTTCAGTTAAAATTCTGTTGCTTAATCTGTATTTAATAGTGAGAGACATATATCTGAACATTCAGTGCAAGAAATTTTATGGTTCACATGAGCAATTTTTATACGTTCAAAGTAATTATTTCTATTTATTCCAATTTAAATAAAGAAAAACTACAGTGAAAAAGATTGTTATTCTCTGCTCTTACTAATATTTGCGTCTAATTCTTTTAAACTGATCAATTTTTATGTTTTTAATACTTGTTCTTGGGCATCATGCTTCTCATCTTTGATAGAACATATAATAGCTTTTACCGATTCTATATTGCCATTTGATCTTATCTTTTATATCATAGAATCAGATGGTAATGATGGCATTAAATTGTTGTTTCTATATGTAAAAAAATTTTGTCTCACAGTTGAAACAATGTTTTGCAAAAATCTAGAAATAAAAATAACTTTAACGTTTTTGATTTATATAATGTTCTAGAATATTCATTACAGGAAGAAAGAAGTCGGAGAATCCATCTAAATTTGAGATTTGATTAACACTAAAATCTATAGCGTCTTTTATTTCGTCATTATCCAAAAAAAAATTAATTTTAAAAAATTTAAATTTCAAATTATCTTGTATATGAACCTAACAGCAACTATCTACTTATTAAGCATCGCCCTGCCGTGAATACAGACCAGGTTAGTTAAAAAAAACACTGTTCAAACTCTACAAATTTTCTATGAATGTTTTCTTCTTCCCTCTTTATTTTGCATAACTTTAATTTTATTGTTTGGGAAGTGCCCACACTGTTTCCAATATCTCGCACATCTATCAGACTCACAAGTTTATCTGA